AGGGACACTGCTTCACCCATGCAGATGCTTTTACGCTTTTTGAACGTACCGGACGGGGGCCCGGTGTATGGCATCTTCTCTTGCAATCCACTTGCTGCGTGGTACGGCTTGAATGGACGCGTGCACGCCCACCGGCGCACCGTGCGGGAATTCGCACGCTTGCTCCGCATGGGCAGCGGGTCCTTCGCTGTCACTCCGTGCAGCGTGTTGGAAGACCGGCGCGCCACTTTTCGGCTGAGCTTCAGTGTCCTTGGGGTGTGTGGCGCGCTCGTCGCAGTGGAACCGTTTGCCGATGAGGTCTCGCTCGTGGCACCTTGACGTCGCACCCCTCCGCTGCGCTGCGGCTGCCCCTCGTCCCACACTTGCATGCTCCTGACAGAGCGCGTCTTGATTCTGAGGAATCGATCGGGCATTGCGACGCGATTTTCACGCAAGTTCTGGACCGCCACCACACAGGAAAAATCCTCGACGTGACCGCATGCTGTCAACGACTCTGCCACTGCAATCATCTGCTTGCATGTGTTTGTATGCAACCTACATGTGGAAATCTTATGGAATATTTTGCTTGTTTGTGTTTCTCTGATAGCGCGTTTTCGCTGGACAGGAATCAGACACGCAGTGCTATACATTTCATGCGTTCTTTCCTTGCCATGTCATGCTGCGCAGTTGTGAACTGACCTGTCACTGTGTCTGCACACCTGAACATCCCCTGCTTTGGAGTTTGGCTCAAATCCCTTTTCTTTCGTCTCGATCCTGCACCCCAATGGCGATGTCTTTGCTTGTGCTCCTGACAGCCGGGGACCTGCTCTCCACACTGGCTCAGGTCGTGCCATTGCCCAGCTTCTTGCTGTTGCTCGGCATTGCCCGGCTGTGGTCACTTCCTGAGCAGATCGCTCTGCTGCGCCGGCACAATTCTCTCTACAATTTCGTCATGGATTGCGTATATCCGGCGCTGCTTCAAGGCATCTACTGCCCAGGCATTGGGCGCGCCCCAAGCGGCATCTTTTGCGCCGACAAGGCCGCCGCGACATTGTCTGCCGCTGTGAGACGGCTGCTTCGTGTTGACGCTGCTGCCTCGCAGCCCGTGGCAGCATTGCTAGCAGATGCCGCTGGGGGGCCAATGGCCGCTTGGCATTTGTGCAATCCGGATACTCCGGCGTGGATTTCTCTCTCCGGCCTTCTAACCGACCGGCGCCTCCATCACCAGCGACATTTTGAGTTCTACCATTTGCCCGGTGGCTCGCGCTGCTTTGTTGTGCATCTTTTGCTGGATAGCTTCCGGTTCGCTCTGCTCTTCGAATCAGCACCCCCTGGTGTTGTGGAAATTGATTGACATTGATGCGAAGCTGCTTCGACGCTCCAAAACTGTGAGATTCTGAGGAATATGGCCGTGCCCTTCCCTGATCGTGCGGATTTCGCTGACATGTTAAAAGGTTCCCTGTGCTACGCTGTCCGGTTGTTCTCGCTGTTTGCGTGCAAACACTTCGATGTTTGGTTGCGCTTTGTGACTCTTTCCCAGCGACTTGTTGCACGATTCTGCGTTTCCTGCAGCCATTTCTGCTCCACTGCCACAGCCGCGTCGCTGCTGCGCCCTTCTACCTTCTTTTCGTACTTTGCTATGGCTTCTGCTGCGCTGGCGTCCCTGCCCGTGGACGTCCTGCTGCGGTTGCACATCTTCCTGGGGTGGCAACTGGCTCCGGTCTTCGCGCGGGTGGCCCAGTGTGCTGCGCCCTTGGCAATCCTTGCGCACGCGGAACAGCAGCTGTGGCTTCTCTCACAGGCGCTCATGGAACCAATCCCGGTTCCTACCATGCCGACGCTGCTGCGTCAGTATGGTGCTGTGTGCAAGGAAGCCGCCGCAGCCGTCCTTGCACGGCTTGCCGGCCTCACCGCGGCCGATCTCGTCTGGCCCGGCCTCCACGAGGCTGCGCCCGCGTCCCTGTGGCGCCGCACATGGCACGACAGCAGCGCCACTGTCGAAGCCATCCGGCGCCAGGTTCTGGCTCGGGAAGCCTTCGACCTATCGAACTATCTTGCCTTTGACCTGGGCATCTCGCCGCAGCCACTGGTTGCATGGCAGGAATTGAACAGGGAAGAGCCCGAGGCCGACGAATTGGTGGCGGGCTTTCTGGACCTCATCGACGCTGGTGAGGCAACGTACCTTTTTTACCCACCAGACCTGGAAAGCGGCCGCCCACCCTGCGTCCTCCTGAATTTCACCGTTTGGGGGGTGGGCGGCACGCTGGCTATCGAAGAGCCAGAAGTGGACCCAGCTGGATTCTACATCTAGGTGATGAGCCGTGCTGGAGCTGCACTATGCCTGTCGGATGTGAGCTTTTCTAAGCATATCGTACGTCGTGCATGTCACTCCTTCGGATTCGCACTGACATGCAAAAGGTCGAATGTGCTGCGCCCGTCCGCACCTGCGAGTCTTGCTTCCAAAATCGCTTTCCAAGCCGTGCCTTCCAACCCTGCATGGGGTGTGCCTGTCATGCATCGAATGTTTTCTACTTCTGTGGTCCTGTTGCCTGCATGTTTCTTCTGGCTCAAGCTGTGTCACTGTTTCATGTTCTATAGATCTGTACGGAAGCGCGCCACGTGGCTGAACATGGACCCTGCCAGCTCTGCTGAGGTCATGGTGCACCTGACGCACTGCCCCTTCTGCGTGCCTGCTGCGCCTCTGCGCGCCGACACCACGTCCTCCCAGGTCTGGGGCTTATCCTACTCCAGTGGCTTTCAAAAACTTTCGGTCCGACGCAAGCGGTGCGATTCCTGCCGCGCCCTCTTCCTTGGCTGCTGGGCCTACTCCCCTGGTGGTCACTCACGCACGCGAATCGCGTGTCATCCGAGGGAGTCGGCTTGGTTCTTCTTCCGAGAACGGATTCATGCAGGCAGCTTCGTTGCAATGCATGTCGACTACCTGCGGTTCATGACCACTGCCTTCATCTTCTTGCGCGCGTCCTTTTCGGGGCTCGTCAAAACTGTCCACGCCATGTTTCCTGGGCACCGACTCAACCCGAACGATTGCCAGCGCTGTCTGGAGCATGGCTGGTTCTTACACTCTGCACTGAGCAACACCTGGAGTGAAGCAGAGTTGTTAGGCGAGGACTTTGACTTGCGCCTCGATTCTCTGGATGCAACTCTTTTAGGCTACGAACCACGCCTTCGTAGCCTTCTGCATCAAACAGGTTCGACGCATCATTGTGGCGCATGCGCGAACCCAGTGCTCACGGGAGACGGTGGCATGAAACTGACCACCTCTCTCTGCAACGAGCGCACCAGCGCGTCTCTCAGAAGTGAGGAGCTGGGCCTCTCCATTCCCATCGGCTGCACGTGCCGCCCGATCCGGGGATCTTTGTTCTGCAGAGCACACCAAGCTGACGCTGCCGAAATGCTTCCTCCCGAAATACGCGATCACAGGCGCGTGACAGGGCAGGGGCGCCTATCCTTTCGGTACACTGGGAGTGACGACTTCCTGCCCGTACAGTCCATGTCTGCTATTCGTCTTCGACAGTACGATTCTCGCCTTGCTTTGCTGGACTACGCTGCTGCAGACCCTACGCGCTTTGCGCCTGGTGAGTGCAACCCGGTGGGAGAGGCCGGCACTTAGCTGGCCTTGCCTTGCTCCGGGGTAATTTAGGATTATAAAAGTATATATAGATGTGAAAGAAACAATAAAAACCATTCTCAATTGATTTCACTGCCTCCCATGGGTTGCCTTTTTCGGGCAGGTTGTGTCTGTGTTTGTGCATATACCCCCGTTCGTCGCGCCGTGCCAGGATGCATTGCGTATGGATGATTCAGATTATGAAGCCGTGAAGGCATGCAACTGCCTCAAGGACGAACGAAAGAGATTGGCAGTTCGTCGGTATGCAGGTGTGTTTGTGGTGGTGCTGCCCTGTGGGCATATCGTTACCGTGCACCATCTGGTTGGGGCGGAGAGTTTGCCGCAAGTCGCCTATTGCTTTGCTCAGGCGCTGAACATCACCGCCGGCAAACGTTTCATTTGCTATGACAATGCCTGCGCGCTGGCGCGCTTCTGTCGGAACCCCGTGCGGGCCGCTCAGATGCAAATCTTTCGCGACCGTGTCTTTGTTCTTCCGGAGTCCCATCTCCGAGGGCACACGGCGTGCCTTGACCCGTCCCATCAATTTTTCTTGCCGGAAGTGCGCAAGTCCGCGCATCCGGAACTGGCCGGGGTCAACACCGAAGCACAGGAACACGTCTTTGCCTGGGCTCGCTGGCTGGTTCACGTTGCCAATCCAATGAAACCAGTTCGTCATCGTGTGTTTTTCCTTCTCCTCTGTTTGGCGCGCAACGAGCATCGGGGTCTCGGAGCACGCCCCAGAGCTAGCCGCCCCAACCGGAACTGGAATGTATGGCGTGGCGCTTTCCCTCGCCGACCTGCGGACGGTGATGATCCAGAACAGCCTGCGCCTGAGCATGCTGCTGTGCCTGCCGCAGCGGTCGCCGCAGCGCCGCTCGACGCGCGGCCTGTTGCCAATGATGACGTGCAGCCGTCACTTCTCTTGAATCTCCGCGACAACAAGCTTCATCGATTGGCAGCGCCGTTGCGTATCTCCTGCGGTGCAACTCTGCCCAAGCGCTGGCGCTACCTTTCTTCGAGAGATGAGGTCGCCCGCTCCAAGCTTTGCCTGCGCAACGGCTGCTTCTCTCCTGGCGCAGATTTTTAATTGCGCCTTTGTTCTCAACTAGGCGTTTTCAAGCGTTCGTGGATTCACAGCTGCTCGGGGGAAAAAAATGGCCCGTTGCAGCCACTGTGTGTGCCTGTCGCTAGGTTATACCCTGTTTTATAGCATGTGTCCTTCCAGTGCGGCATTCCAGCGGCACATTGTCACGCATTTAGCAAATTCTGGCGGATGATGGGGCAATTTCGGCCGACTTCCGCTCTCACATCATGCCTCATGCATTCACTCTAGCCTGTTCGGTTCACATCCTTCTTGATATTGCGTGCTCCTTTTCGCTGACCCCCACGAGCCATGTGCATTTTCGCGCACGCGGTGTGGTCTACGCTTGCGGCCTTCGTCTTTTGCAAGGTCTTTTCCAACCTACAGGCTGGCTATGCGCGCTTCTCTCGAAGGGCTTCAACCACGCGCGCTCATTTCCTCCTGGTTCGTGCTCGTTGCTTGGCTTGCATTCAGAAAGTTTTGTTTTCTATAGGCTTGAGCACCCCCGCAGTCTTACACAACCACCTTGTTTTGCTTGGCTTCATCTCTCCTGCAGGACCTGCTGAAGCTCTGCGGCGCGCGCGCTGTCGTGCGACTGCCTCCTTCCTCTTGCACCTGTGCCTTTACGCGCCGGCGCTCCTTGCCTTGGCCGTTGCATTGAGTGCCTTCGCTGTGCTGTATATGGCGTGCTGCTTGCTGCGCTATACGCTGGGGCGGCTACTCTACGGTGCTGACCAGGCGCAACAATGCTGCGCGTCTGCCGCTCCGCCCCCGCTGACTAACGAAGGATTCCTTTGCACTGATGAAGACGCGGATTATTTCGTGGAGGTCTTGCCTTTTCGTCTGCTGCCCCTGCCCCTTGGCTCCAACACGGGACAGCTATCATTGGTGTTCCTGTTGGGTTCCTTCTTTCTGATCCCTCCCATCCCCGTCTCTTCTTTTCCTTTGTCATGTCATGTCACCTCTTCGTTGCTCCTTGCTGAGGCTCACCGATCCAGCATTCGAAGGTCATTTACTGCGAGCTCTCCATGGACTTTCTTCTGTTCCTGCATTTTCTTTCGTGCTGCTGCTGTCTCATTCTGCACGGTCCAATTGGAACTTGCTTTGCAGCCTGGAAGCAACTTTGGTCGGGGACGCCTCGAGTTTGTGCGCTGCCATTGTGCCCGTGCTTCGGCCAATCCTGCCTGAACAGCTGCGAATCTTGAGCCTGACCACGGGCCATGCCTATATACCATTCGCCCTCGAAGCACCTGCCCCGGATCAACCCTTGCCCGCCATATGCCAGGATGCGTGTGGGGCTTGGAGCTGTGGTTTCCTCACCCCCTACATCATGGAACCTGCCCCTTCGGAGCCAATGGCACTTTGCGAGGCTACTTTGGATGCTGCTGCAGAGGCTGCGACTTCTGAGCCAAGTGCTACCCGCAACAATGTTCCGGCCATCGCTCCGACACCGGCTACTTCTGAGCAACGTGCCTGTGGCAACCTTCTGAACTGTTCTGCAGAACCGGATCTTTCTGACCCAAGTGACACTCACAACCCTCTGGACACAGCTGCAGAAACAGCCACTTCTGAGCAAAGTGCGCTGGACAGCATTGAGGATATTGTCGCGCAGAGCTTCCAACATGATGCGAATTCCTTTCTTGGAGCTCTCGGCTGCTTGGCCCCTTTTTCCTTCGAGGTGATGCTTGCTGCTTTGAATGAGTCGCGATCCATTGATTGCCCTTCACTGACATGGGCCCAGGTGTCGGCTCTAGTTTCCTGTCTCGTTGCGGCCCTCCCTCAGGGCATCATCATCCGCAACCTCGACCCCGCGATCACTTGGTGGGTTGCGGGTGGTGGCTACCATCGACACGTTGCATTCTGGGATGTATCTCCGTACCTCTTCTTGGAGCGAGATCCAGAAGGACGCTACCGCCCATTGATGCACTTGCCACTTTCCATGCATCCCGACATGTCACTTGAGCTCCAACTTTCCACGTGTTGGATTGCAACTTGCGAACCACCCCTTCGGGCAACGGTGCCTGGCAATTGCTTCTTTGCAGCGCTCGGCTATGATCGCAATGTCCTTCTCACGCTTGCGCTGCAAGCTGCGTACGCGCTGCCAATGCGCACGAGGGCCCGCATCGTGCAACGTCTTCTGACCTTGCTGGTGCCTGGTACTTGGGTCAATGCTTTGGATGCTCAGATCTTCGTCAACCTCCTGCCAGCTTGGTTCCCCAATGGCCTGTTCATCTTCAGTGCTGAAGGTCTGCTGCTGCATTTTCGGTCTTCTCAAGCGCCAGAGCCTGCTCCCCGAGGACCGGTCGCTTCTGTCCCCGTTGTTTTGAACATGTTGATGCACCACGGCCTACCGTTTTCCTTTTTTACCCTTTGCTTGTTTCTCCCTTTGCCGTTTCATGTTCCCTTTCAGGCGTTGTGTGCGCTTGGCTCCGCTCCGCTGCTTTACTATGATTGCAATCATTTCTCCCGCGCCGCCCTGTGGGCGCGTGGTTCCACCCAATGGTTCGGCGAGACGAGGCAGCATGACACATTGAGGTCGCACCGAGTCCTTCGCATCCCTGCGCACTGGGTTTCAGCGTTTGCGGTCCGCATGTCAGGGGGCGTCCGCAAGTTTTCCGAGAAAGAGATCTTGGACGCGTTTGGCTCGGCTGAGGAAGTGCCATTTCCCATGGCTGCTCTCGAGGAATTGCTGCCTGAGGTCTGCGGGCATTGCAAGCTGGTGGCAGACACCTTGAGCGTGCCCCTTTCTTGGGTTCTGCTCACCGAAGTCTGTGCTGCAGCCTTCTTCGCCCCGACCTCCGTGCTCATGCCTACTAAAACCATGCCGCTATATGCGATGCCGTGGGCCTTCATTCTGCATCCTGGTGCGACCCAGACCAGTGGATTGATGTCGACCTATAGTCGCACCTTCCGCCAACTTGAACTGTGGGAAACCGATTTCCAAGTGCGATTGGCAAAGGAGCAACCCCGGCAGAATGAACAGGTGCAGGAGGGGCAAGATGCAGGTGAACCTGTCCAAAAACGCGCGCGCTCCACTGCCCCCGCTGCTATGCACATGGGGTTTACGTCAGGGAGCCTTGATGGCATTGTCGGCCGCATGGCCGAACCACAGAACATAAGCCGTGCAGCGGCATTCTTGGCCGAAGGCCTTATCTTTTTGAGCTGGATTTCTGATCTTTGCTCCTCTCACAAAGGGTTGCTCACACAGCTCACCGATCGACTCCTCTGGGACAAAGTCACGGTCAAGGCTCGTTTTGCGTCACGCTTTGCCATTTCCATGTCTTGACATGTCTTGACATTATTCATTGCATCAGTTCCTGCTGCATCTTCTGGTTGTCATTCTTGTTATTCCCCCCTGGCCTGTCAGGACCGCACGACCGTCATGGTCGACGCCCCCTTCTTGGGCATTTGTGCTGCAGTGCATATGGAAGAACTGATGTCGGCCATTGGCGTTGAAGACCCCCTGGGGTTAAGGGAGCGGTTGCTGATCATCTACGAGCGTCCTCGCTTTGTCCGCTCGTCGGAACTGCAAGAAGCATGCTCCCGCATCCCTGCCCAATCCCTTCACGCGCATCTTGCAACTCACTTTTGGGCCCTTCATTGTGTGCATCATCCACAGCACCCCCCCAAGTCCCGCTTCGTCGCGGATCTCAATTACCACTGGTTGAAATACAGCTGGCAAGAAGATGCGGCGAAACTGTTTTGGGACAACTTCGATGACAGGGCCGGAGAACAGGAGGCCGCCTACCGCCTCGACCAGCAAGCGGCCAAAAGAGCTGGCAAGTGGAAAACTCGCCATTTCCGCTTGGCTTTGCCTTTTCACAACTTAGCACAGGCTTGCGCGAGGACCAGTATAGAGGACTGGAACACTGAGGTGTCCTACAAGGCTGCCAAGGCGAGCCTCATCTTCAGCACCTGGATGGATGACGTCTTTCAACGCCTCGACTTGCTGCGCGCTGCGCCTTTGCCACCTCCAGGCCCCGCAGCCGCCGCAGCCCCATCACCACGCGAAGACCTTCGAACTCTGCTGGCTTCCGCTTCCCTTGGCGCTGTCCTGAGCAACCAAGTGAATTTGCCCCATCTTCGCATTTTCATGCTGGCTGTCCTAGCGTCCGAGAAAAGGCCACTCTTGCGAAATCACGACGTCTTGCACCTGAAGCCCGTTTTAGCCTTGAATCTGCAGGCTGCTGCAGGGATATACCACAGCAACCGCGCTCTGAAAGCATTGAGCCTGCTCGGGTTTGGTGTGGTCACTTTAAGCACCAACACATCGGGCACAAAGGTCCTGTGGTTCACGAAAATCCCTTCGGAGGACTATGCCAGTCCTGCCCTGCAGCGCAGTCGGTCTGCCTTGGCGATCCTAGAGCCGAATGGCTTTATTTCGTGGAACCGCGCACAAATCTTGCAAAACAAGCAGAAGAACCAGGAAGCCATCGTCTACCCTGATCTGGCTGCTGCAGAGGTGCAAGCCTCGATCGCCGCCGCTGCCACCGCCTGGGAAGAGATCACCACGGCGCCAGTATGACTTTTAAAAAGCTCCGCCGCGGTCAGCCTGCTGTCCCTTTTCCCTTGGCTTGTGCTGTTTGCTCGCTGTTGGATGGCGTCCTTGTACCTTGCAGCCTTCTCTGTCCAGGCATACCTTTCCTTTGCAGCATTTTTGGCTCTGTCGCGCCCGTTATCGTTCTAGCGCGTCGGCTGACCCTCAGCAGGCGCGGCGCTGCTTCGTGCATGTCTGCCTGTCGATCGTCCATCCCTCTTGCCCATCCGACCGACGAACCCCCTATGCCGCTGCACCAACGAAACCGACCCGCCATGCCTCCGTCCCCCCAACCACACACACACAACCGCACCCACAACCACAACCACAAGAAGAAGTACAACTGCAACAACAACACCCGCAACAACAAGAAGAACCCCTTCCGCCCTCACTTGCCTGGCCGCTCCGCCGCCCTGCCTCCGGATCCTTCTCCTTTGCAGAGAACACCTCCCCCCTTCCAAAGAAGATTCCCACCCCCTTCCAAACAAGATCCCTTCCCCACTTCGGCAGAAGACCCCTCCCCCTTCGGAAGAAGACCCCCCTCTTCCTAAGCAGACTCCCCCCCCTTCGGAAGAAGACTCCCCCCCCCCCCTCCTAAGAAGACTCCCCCCCCCCTTCAGAGAAGACCCCCCCCCCCTTAAATACCCCCCCCTTCTTCTTTTTTGAGCGGGGGGGGGGGCCTAGGCCACAGGGTTCGTCAAAGACCCCCCCCCTTGAAGACCCCCCCCATCCCTACCCTATCGATGCGGTCTGTCGGCCTTGGCCTCACAGTTTGGGATCTGAGCAATATGCTCATGGGATGGGTCACAGGCTACTTGGGGCTTTTTGGTCTTCCCAAAGAGCAGGATGTGAAGCAGCCATGGGCCAACTTTGTTGGCCTGGTGCTGGCATCTGTCTCGTTGATTTTCTTTTCCCTTGCATCTGCATTTGATGACTTCGAACCTGCACGAGAGGTCGAGATGAAGAAGGAAAATTCGGAAGCCTCAACAGCGGCTTCTTCATGTGGAGATTTACCGGACATCGAAGATGGGCAGACGACCATGCAGAAGCCTGCGACACTGAAACATGGGGAGCGAGGGGATGCCGGTTCAGATCGCGCAAATCGCATGAAGGCAATGTTGGGCTTCTCAATGGCAATCCTAGCAGGCGTTTTGTTCGGCTCAACGTTCGATTTGCCAATGGATCTCAAGAATGGCATCTTTGGTCCAGACCACAGCCAGCACATCATGGACTGTGTTTAGCCATTTCATCGGTATCTCTGCTGCAGCTTCGTTTGCCCTTACAGTCTACATCACGGTGAGGGGGAAGAAGAGCCAGCTGCCACGGCAGCTCATCGTTCCTTCTTTGGTCTCTGGTGTGATTTGGGGGATCGCGCAAGTGGCATGGTTCCAAGCAAACATTGAGGTGGGTTTCGCGATAGCGTTTCCGATCATCGGTAGCCTTCCAGGCATCATCGGGCTTTTCATTGGATGCTGCTGTCTAGGAGAAGTCAGGACTACACGGAGCCGCATATTTTCACTTGTCGGCCTGCTTCTGAGAGTACCAGGAGTCCTTCTTATCGCCCTTTCCTCAGTGTAGTTCAGATATTAATTAGTTGAGAACCAGGACTGCTGCAATGTCGGTGGTAGATGGATGACTAGTGAAGTGACTAGGGTCATTTCCATCCACTCCGATAATCCTAATTAGAAAGATTTTCTGTTGGTTTATTCTCCTTTAGTACTGCGAGCGTTTACGCAAGTTTCAATGCTTCTGCAGCTCATGTAGACCAGATTATGAAGCTAGATTTTTCCCTGCTTAAGTCTTGGTGAGATTCTGGAACGGAACCTCTGGTTTTTGTTCTAGTTCATCACCAAGCATATCTTGCCACGCCCTTTTTTTCCTTTGCGCTCGAATGCTCCTGCAATCCGATGGACCAGCATCAATCCATTATTTTCCATTGTACAAATATCGATAGAATGTATAGTCTATCTATGTCTATCTACTGTACAGGAGTTCCGAGTAGCCCTCAACTGGCAACCTCTTGTGGACCTTGCGGTTTGGGGTTGAAGTCAAAAAAATGATCATGGGTTTTAACCATCAAAAATGGGGATAGGCTGCCGGCTTTTTTTTTAAAGTGAGAAATGGTGCTTGGCTGATGTTGGGGAGTTAAGCAGCAAACAAACGGGGGTTATGACCAAACATAATGAGGACAGAATGAAGATGTGATGGGATATATAAACCAGCATGCTCAGCAGCTTGGGACCCCCGTGGCTTTCATATGATCCCTATTATTTTCGATATAAGTATCATACTATGGCACTTATATATGGATGCATACAAATAAGTATATATAACATGTTGTAAGTTATAAGTTATAAGTATAAGATGTTGTAACCAAGAATCATGCAATCACTAGCCGCCAGAAATAGTGGATACATCGCAAAAATAGGAACCTGAATCCAGTTAATGCCATCTTTGTTGCTGTAAACCAGCTTAAATCACCCATTTACACTGTAGAGTATTCTGGAATTGGTCGAAATTGGGGACCAGTAACGTTGGATAGTTTGATACTGTACAGAAAATGACACAGACACACACACAGACACCTTTCCCACATTCCATTGGAAGTGTTTGGAGACCTTGTTAGGAAAGAGGGTCTCCCAGCGGTTGTCCTTGTGGGGCTGCCCTTTTCAGACCAGTTTTCAGTGAATTGCCTTGGTGTTTCAGATGTTCAAAGCGCTTGCAATTTTGTGTCTAAACCAACAGACTAGGACCAGACATGACCAGAATAGGTCCTAGGATGTCCTAGGTATCCTAGGTATCCTAGATTTGGAGCCCGACCCAGGCGAAGACCTTGGCACAAGATCCTCATCTCCGTTACAGTGCGGTGGGCGCCAGCGCTGGCGCTGCCATTGTGGGTGCAGGTGGTGCAGCAACAGGACTCACCACTGGGAGCCTTCTCGGAGCGGCAGTAGGCCGGAGGACCAGTAGATGTGCAGTGCCTGCGGTTTGGCCCCCCAGTTGGTTGATGATTCTATGATGTTATATGGGGTTAATTATTCTATCCAATATATTGGGGATTATCACAATCCACTGTGGAAAATCATATTAATTAACCAGTAGAAAGGGACGACAGAGGGTTTTGAACACTGCCCAGATGAGTCTTCAAATTTCAATGGACTTCCCTGGCACTTGTAGGTTGTTGGGTTGAACAGCATTTTGAATATATATATAATATAAGAACTAGTAGGAATTGTTGAAGCCATACCCATAGATATTTGCAGCTCGATATTTTTTACATATCATATTACTTTATCAATTGTCAATTATCATTGTTCTGATATGTTCTGATAACCGGTTATTAATTAATACGATTATATATTATATTTTTCAAATATTGTGCAATCCCCAATATTTGGGGTAACAACCATAGTTTCAACCGTAGGTGTTCCCTTGAACCAACGCAGTGAAACATAGTAAGTAATTCAGAAACATAATGATCCAACTCAAAAGACACATAACATTGCAGAAAGGTCAATAAATTATTAGATAAATATAAAATCACTCGAACTCGACACTTATTACACCATAGTAATTCTATAGATCCTTCTATCTTTAATCATTCATAAAATCTATCTTTCTGGACTTACCCTAATTCCATTGACACCGCCTACACAGGCGTCATTCCTGCAGTCTTCACCTTCGGCCTGTCGATCCCCTTCTGCGCTGCTGTGGGCGGCGGAGCAGGCCGCAAGCGACATGCCTGATGGCCATGCTGTCAAGGTAAAATTGTTTTTTTTCTTTTATATCAGATCTATTATTTTTATACATATTATTTGTATATTTATATATATATATAATCTATGTATATCTCTACTGTGTTGTGGAAGATGTTATAATCTTTTATTCCAGGGGTTCTTGCGGTAGCTGTATAGGCCGGTGTTTGATCGAGGTGCTCACTCTGGGCCGCGGCATTTTCCCTGTCAATTTCCGCATCAAGTGGCTCTTGTGAAATCTCCAAGTGCATTTCGACTGTGCAGGCTCGCACAAAGTTTGCGTCGCGGTTCTGGGCTCGGGCATTTTTCCTGCAAATTTCCGTGTAAAGTGGCTCTTGTGAAACGTCCAAGTGCATTTCGACTGCGCAGGCTCGGTCCCCGGTCTTGGTCTGCGGCATTTTCCCTGTAAATTCGCACAAAAAATGGCTCTTGTGATGTGATGAAGTGCATTTCGACTGCGCAGGCTCGCACAAAGTGTGGGCCGCAGTCTTGGGATCTGTCCTCCCCCTCAACATCATCATCTTCCTCCTCCTCCTCCTCAACATCATCATCTTCCTCGCCCTTGACATCATCATCCTCAACATGATCATTCTCCACCTCATCTTCCGCAACATCATCATCATCATCATCATCACCATCATCATCCACCTTTTCTTCCGCAACTTTATCATCCTTTTCATCATCTTCCCCAACTTCATCATCCTCCACTTCATCTTCCACATTGTCATCCTCATCCTCATCCTCCTCAACATCATCATCCTCCACATCATCATCCTCCACCTCATACTCCTGCACCTCATCATCGTCAACATCATCATCCTCAACATCATCATCCTCAACATCATTGTCCGCAACATTGTCCTCCTCCTCCTCATCACCATCATCATATCATCCACATTATCATACATTATCCCCCCACTCCCCCACACTGTTTGGGGTCTCTTGTTGGGAAAAAAGATGTATGTAATGTTACGGCCAGGAGAGGGGTGCTGGTCGGGAAGTGTGTTTTGACTGCGCAGGGCCATTGTTTGGGATGTCGGGTTGCCCAAATGGCTGACGAGATTTGTTTCCAATACACAAAACCCTGAACCATAAACCCTAAATCTAAAACCTTAAAACCTGAAACCCGAAGTAAGCCTTGAAAGTACAATCTTATTAAAACCGTGATGAAAACCTTAAAACCCTCAATGAAACCCTAAACAAACCCGAAGCAAACCCCAAACAAACCCTAAACAAACCCTAAAGAGTTGGTCACATGATAAACCTCTGGGCGGCACCCCCGGCCCGGGGGTAATATTATAGATCATTGCATACACAATGTCACAATGCATTAAGTACGTGGCATGTATTGATGTGAAGGTATTGTACTTACAACGATGTTTTGATATGTTTCGATGACAGGATTGGCTGTGGGCGCTGCCAGCGGCGCCACTGCTGGTGCTTTGGCAGGTGGCGCAACAGGCCGGGAGAGAGAGAGAGTTTTAACCGTACATGTCGAGTCGCGACCTCTTTTACCCTTTGCTAATCAAACATGGTTGGCTGGGAAATCCCCGAACCAAGTGGAGATTTTCAATAGCGGTGAAAGGTTGATCCACATCACTGAATCACAGTTTCAAAATATGACACCTGCGATGCACTCAGCTGCCCAGAGGCTATCAAGCGTACAATCATCGTCACGAGATCCGAGCATCTGCGAACAAGACCTTGGAACAGGCACGGCCAAGTGGAGGTGTACACCAAGGATCTTCAAACCTTGAGCCATGAGCAACTGTAGAAACAACACCAAACTTTTGGGATATCCGCCACTCACATCCAAAATTTCAGGTCACGACCAGCGCAGACTTTGTAAAAGCGAGGCCAGCAAGACTGTTGTGCCACTGGGGCCCACTGGCAATCAAAGCTATGCAATTGCATGTGATAGGATCTGATAGGATAGGGTTCTGCCTGGAATGAAGGTCTCACAGTGGTAAGGATAGAAACCTCTCTCTCATTCCCGAAATGTAGACCATGGCTCAGATCAGACACAAAGAGCTGTGGAAAAAGAGTTGCCATGTGGTAAGAACATGTAGTTTACGTCCCTGCGTCTTAGATCAGGTGGTGTTCCAGCACATCCCAAGCTTCACAATTCACCACATCCATGAGTTGGGTGTGACACACATGTCCTTACACAATTTCCAAGGTTTCATACTAAAGATGAACTCCAAACTTCGGGTTCCCTTGGTACCAAAGTCATGTCCCCTGATCAGCAGTTCTCCCGCTGGGTCGTGCAGGGCCAACGCTGCGACATCCTTCCTATCAGAACGTGCCACTGTGGCCAGGGCCCGTCTCATGGGAGGTGCGCGATTGCATTGATTGCATTACCACCCCCCGTATGTGCCGAAGCAAAAGAAACACGCTACATTATCTTGTGAACAAAAGAATAGACACAAAATGACAAAAACAGTGTTTTTTTCTTTTTTGTGGTTATTTGTACCCCCCTCTGTACTACCAGTTTTTTTTCCTGGGGGTTCAGTACGCTTTTTAAAAAACACTATTTTCCAAAAATCTAGCAGACAGTGGGTCAGGGTCCCGGGGCCAGGAATAAAATATCATACCAAAAAAGGCCCAGATTTTTTTTTATCAAAGCTTCCTGACGTACAGTGATAGGAAATCAATTTCTGTCTGTTGTGATTGAGGGGGGGTTGATCTATCAGTCTGTGTATGTAAGGCATCAGGAAATCAATCATGAATGACTCTGATAATGGGTAAGTTTGTAGAATTCCCAAGGCTAGTAGCCAGGAATTTGAAGGTGGATGGACCAAATGGGAATTTACTAGAACATATCTAAATGTCAAACCCGAGGAAAAAATGTACCATGATTAATTGAGTGGGTATGATTCTTTACATGATTTTGCAAAAGGGTACAAGCGCATATGTTCACCTTCACCAACCAAAAAAGTGACTTCAAGAGGCCAAGGCGCAGGGGTCAAAAATAAAATCCAAGGGACTGGACCTTTTTTGACTGAATACTTGCGGATGATCTTCAAAGGTTGGCCCACAGGAAAAAAGTCGCATCACCAGGCCAATCATCCACAGATAGGACATGATGGGACGAATTCAAGAATTTTGTGTCAACGCGCCCAAATTGCAAAACATTTTTTTTTTTTCTGAAAATACATTTGTCCTTGCAAAAGGGGTACAACCACATATGTTCAGCTTCACCAACCAAAAAAAGGTGACTTGAAGAGGCCGAGGCGCAGGTGTCAAAAATAAAATCCAAGGGGCTGGACCTTTTTTTGACTGAATACTTGCGGATGATCTTCAAAGGTTGGCCCACAGGAAAAAAGTCGCATCACCAGGCCAATCATCCACAGATAGGACATGATGGGACGAATTCAAGAATTTTGTGTCAACGCGCCCAAATTGCAAAACACGTTTTTTTTTTTTTTTCTGAAAATACATTTGTCCTTGCAAAAGGGGTACAACCACATATGTTCAGCTTCACCAACCAAAAAAAGGTGACTTGAAGAGGCCGAGGCGCAGGTGTCAAAAATAAAATCCAAGGGGCTGGACCTTTTTTTGGCCGAATTCTTGTGGATGGTCTTCAAAGGCTGGCCCCACAGGAAAAACGTCGCATCACCAGGTCAACCATCCATAGATAGGAAATGATGGGACAAATTGAAGAATTTTGTTCCAACGTGTGGCCAAATTGCAAAACAGGCGTTTTTTTCCTGAAGATACATTTGTCCATGCAAAAGGGTTGCGCATTGCCGTGGGCATCTGCCGGACCGCACTCGTGAAGCCGTGGACTCTGAAAAACTGCGAGCTGTCAGCCGGGAAGTCAGGTGCCAGGAATTCATTTTTTTTCCGTATCAGATTGAGGGGGGAAGATGTGGCATGTTACCAACGCAAGCATCCAGGAAATAATTTTTTTACTTGGATATCAGAGGGGTAAATTTATTGGATGTTGGACGTTGGGCACCAGGAAATTAGCAAAGAAAATTCAAAAAGGTGGTTGGAAGTGAGATTTCGGCTTCAGAGGTTAGGAACCAGGAATTTAAAGCTCTAAAACCTCTCTCAAAGGTTAGGGGTCATAATTTTAGACCAATTTTTTTCTAGGACTGTACCCCACGTTGGAGTACAGACGGGGATTATTTGTTTTGTCGACATCGTGGTGTCTAGGTGATGATATATAGGATATATGATATGTTCTCAGGATAAAGACATTGCGGTTTCACGGAGACGAACCATGTTTGATAAAGTCAAAAACGTGACAACTCGATTATGTACTGCGTTTTTTTTTTAAACAGTGTATTTGCTCTTTGACATGGAATCGAGCATCATATGGAATCGAGCGTGGCCTGGCCAACATGTTTTGAGTATGTCAAGTGAAATACGCGGGGTGATAATAATACAATCGCGTAATCGCGTACCTATGCATACACAGACCGACTGTAGTCAGTTCTCATGAAAGGCAGACATGATTTTGTACTCAATAAACAGGTAGGTAGATAGATATACAGTTAGATCATAGACAGACA